CCCCCCCCCTTCCTTCCCATCCCCCTTCCCCCTTTTTTTCTCTCTCCTTTTTGCATTTGTGCCGTTCGGCGTTGGGCGACGACCGCCACGCCGTTTGTCTACATCGACACTATCTAAGAAAATGCTCTCGTGTACATATCACGGCTCAACTTAAGGTAGTGGCTTGCAGCGGGGATGTAACTGAAAGTAGACCATAGTATACTCTCCCCTCTGTTTGAACACAGTCTCCTAATTGTATAAGTGATATCTGTGTTGCATTTTCAGGGGGCTGTGATCCTGTATGCGGCCTTATTGATGGCCCTGTGTTCCACTTTCACATAATGTCGTCATTTGACTACCTGGTTGTATATCCTGTATTATGCCAAATAAAGAATTTATTAAAAAAAAAAAATTACAGCTGGTGCCCAACTTTTGAGGTTCTCTAGTTGTCATCAATGGAGCAGGCTTCTAAAACATTCTGCTGGCTCCTGAATTGACCAGACTGGCTGTTGAATTCCATATTAATTTGTCCTCCCCTGCACTAGAGAATAGTATGGGAACAGTAGAAAGATTCCAAAATATTATTTTGTTTAAAAATAATTTAAAGCTGTTTAGTTAAATTTTTTGGGATACAGCACCATGGACATCATTGAACTCTAATGAAGTGTATCCTTCTGTGAGGGGGCAGATGAATGACAGGATCACCCTTGCCCAGTCAAAGAATGTCTTGCATTGTATGTGAATATACTAGGAGTTTTGTGAATGGGCGAGAGGGGCGGAAGGGGAGGTAAAAGAGGTGACCAGCCATTGCTGTTACAGACAAAGTTGTTAACGCATAGAGTGCCGTTTACTGCTGGTTTTCTAGTAAACTTTGATTGCAATATCAAAAACAACTCTAGTATGTATTCCCGTTACAATGCCAATATTATAACAGGATAGCATATGCTGGGACTTCAGAACTCCTTTAAAACATTCTCTGCATTAAGATAAAAAAAAAACTCCCCAGCACCCTTGCATGCACCCCTGTCCCCAACACTTACCTATGGTCCATGTTTATGGGCATGCTCTGTGAATGGACAGGGCAGATCCTGTCAATTACCTGTTCCTCCTCCATTCACTTTAGCACAAAATGTGTAATATATCTCTATCACCTTTCTGGCATCCAGCTGAGAGGCTGCTGCTGCAAAGTCACGGCACACATAGAAAATGACTAGTCTGAAGCATGAGTGCCAAGATGGCCATCTTATTATGTGTCCTGCTTTACTATGCTGCAGAAGGAGCTGGGTTCTGTGAGTAGCTCTTTGCTGAAACGCAATGCCGGACAAATTTGGGGCTTTGGCTGCAGAGTGATTTTCCATTGAGGCTCTTCCAGCATGGGCAGAATAAGAATTCTCTGGTTCTCTTTTACAGAGCTGTTGATTTTGTGTATTGGTTAACACTTACTCGGTGCTCTGGGATATCACCTTATCATGTCAGGTCATAAGGCCTTAGTAAAAGCATAATTTAATGTGTCTGGTGCCGCATCCAGAGAAATGGATAAGAATCTGTCTGGATTACATTTCACTCAAGACTACCCATTAGTATATGTGAGGTTCCAGAAGCCCTTTATCTTTTTACAGCCATGGAGGAGAAGTGAAATTCTATAAAACAGCACCAACAGGTGAAAAGAAACCCTTTGAAGAAAAGTAACCTGCTCACACCAACAGTATTTATAGCATCCCAGATTACTGTCACCCCATAAGACACATAATGCAAATTAGACGCAAGGACCTGCTTCTTTTCTTTCAACCTGATGGGCTTGGATCTATGTCATTTACATACATCTAAAATAGTCAATAGTGAAATAAAAAGGGATTTATTTAAACTTATTTAGGTGCCGTTTCTTTAAATCATCATCTGCCAACACACAAGACTAGCTTCAAATTAATCAATTAACAGTTATGAAAGCTGTGGCATCACAAACCCCATGAATATGCAGAATACTGTATATGTGATAATACTGTTAAATGGCTTTTTATTCATAGCACAGGGGAAAAAAGTTTTTGTTAAAAAAAAATAATGCATTACACTTAGTATTAATATGCATCATGTATTAGAACACTACGTCCCTTAGAGGGCACTTAAAAAAACATTAAATTTGAGTTAACAACTTTTTCTAGAATAAGTCAGAATATAAAACAACTTCTATATGTGCTATTTTTGTTTAAATTAAAATATAAATAAAAAATGTTTGAGATATATATATATATATAAATAGAAATAAAACAACAATAAATTTTAAAAAATTACAAAAATTAAACTTGACTTCCACATAGCTTGCTGTTAACTTTTTTCTTAATGGATTTTAATCACGACAGACAGTTACGTTGAGATATGCAGTATAGTATTTTGGGTGATTGCTCGTTCAACTAAAAGTGAGTGGAAGATTTAAAAATGTTTTCCTTATGCACTTGTAACGTATCTGCATAACCCATGACTTAAGAGAACAATATCCACAATATATTATTTTTAATAAGCCACTGACCGCAAACATGATTAACCCACACACAAAGTGCAGCAAACCACTACCAATCAAAATGATTTTGTTATTGTCTGATTGCTCTAAACTGATCGATGGTGAAATCTGATTGGTTGCTTGCTATATGTTGAACACCATGACAAAGTAGATGAGACAAATTATATGAGTTTAGAAGATTAACACATGGAATGTAACTACAGAGGAAAAAAAATGGTTGTGCAGTGATTGATGATCGTGGAAGCATTAACATAATCGGAGATAAGAAACTGCTAAACATTGCCTTCCATATGAAAAATGACACAGGTTGTTTAGTTTTACGTCCTCTAATATAAAGTTGGGTGTGTGACAAGCGGACTTTAACACTAGATAACAGGCTGGAACTTGGAAGCCTTTAAATAGCTCTAGCAGCATGCAGCCCAGTGTGTCGGGGTCCCTGGGTTTTCTTTACTTCTTAGTCCAATAAGTAACATTTAGTGATTAAATTCCAAACACAAACACCTTCTCTAAGTAGCATCCTCAGCAATGAACTTTGCTATGGCCTGTCACTAAAAGCGGCAGTTACCAGCTCACACAAACCCAGGGGGATCCATTCACTCGCCACAGTAAAGAGAGGCTGCTGAAAGCTGTCAGACTAAATCTATGCTCACTTTTTGGATGGTTTCATTTCAATGAAGCATGAAACTCCACAGGATGGTTAATAGGCTTAGCCAGGCGTGCCGTTCTCCCTAATATATTTTAATTATGCATCAGTCTTAATTGTAATCAGATTAAAATCCTCAAAAATAAAGCAGCAAATTGGGGCTTTCCCCGATGATTACTTGGAAGCTTATGTCAGCTTCAAAACAGGACCACTTAGTAAACCATGCTCCAATAAAAAAATTAAAAATACAAAAAAGTAACGACAAAATATAAAAAGTATAGGGGCTGCCACTGCTGGACCTCTCTTGAAATTGCTAGTTACCTGGCTGTGTCTGGATTCTATAATTTGGAGCCACAGTACAAGCATGCTGTATATTTGGAAGTGAAACAGTGGCTTGGATACACTGTGAAAACATCTTCAAGATTTCAGAAGAGAACCAGCTGAATGCGACGTACTATGCCATGCAAAATAAAAATATATAGATATTAAATACACACACATACATACATACATTATATATACATATACACACACTGTTGGACTATATTTGATTCAGTTCAAAGTCCCAGAAAGCACTGAGCCGAAAATATCAGCCATGACAGTCAAGGAACTAAAGCTGGCCATATACTGTTCCACTGATCTGTCAGTCAACTTTTGACAAAGCAGCTAATCCAATCATTTTCAGATGAACAGTAATTGCAGCCAATCAGCTGCAATCACTGTTCACGTAGTCTGACAGTTTTGCACCGGTTGTCAGAATACAATAGCCCAAAGCAAAAGATTTGCATAACAAGGATCTGTTCGATCTTTTTTATTCAGCCAGCTTAAAACTAAATTTAGATTTTCAAATTGATTGGATTAAAAATGTAAGTGTACAGCCATCTTAAAATAGAGATCAGCAATGGCAGCCCCCAGACTTTTGTCATGACATAGTCACTTTAAGTATTATTGCTTTCTTATATCTATTATAAAAGTGGTGACAAGCAGAATTCAGAAGGGACATGATATGATGATAAGGAGTGGATGTGCTAAGTTTGCTGGTCCTCACAAAGTGATAAAGTTGATGTTTATTTGGGATGTGATGAATGAATGTGTGTCATCATCCTGATCCCTTCCCATGTACTCCATGTGCTTTTGCAGCAGACCATCAGAATGAAGTGGTAGCCACGATCGGGAAGAGGTAGCCCTGCACCAGGAAAGTTGCTGCCAGTGTGGTTCATGTAGGGAGCGGAGGAAGAGGTCCCAGGAAAAGAGAAAGTTTGACATGTCAGAGCTCCTACCTGTCATCGTAGCAGAAATCAGCGTCCAGGCTGTTGAGATACAAGACAAGCCCCAGGGCGCTGCTCAGCAACTCAGCGATCATGTCTCCTGCACTCAGCCAGGGCTGCTCGGCTCCAGCTCTACCCCCCGCGTCCTTTGTCTGATGCTCTCCAGAGGGGGGCCGGCCGGAGATCAGAGCCCGCACTCCATGCCTGCTCGCTGGGGAATGGCTAGGAATACAGCCGCCCTGCCCTGTGCGCTTCCACCTTCCTAACCCATGGTGTAGAGAGCAGTGCAGGAGGTCTGTGCTGCAGAGGATCGGCTCTTCCTATTGTGCACAGGAGGAGGGATGCTGCGAGAAGGTGATAGGAGCGGTAACGCGCCTGCTGCTGATGATGGTGATGGTGGTGCACGTCTCTCCTCCTCTATAGGCAGCGGACTGTCAGTACTGGGAGCAACCCGGTCAGCAGCATCCAGGGAACAGCCGCGTGGGGCTCAGTGCTACTCCGCTGCGCATGCTCCAATCACCTCCCCTCTTTTCCCCAGCCCCGCCCCCTATTCTTCTCCTCGGTCACGCCCCCTCATCCCTCCAGTGTAATGCGCTCCGCTCATCTGTCACTTTCTTTCCGCTGCTGACGAAGCATTCCCTGCTTCTTCCTGCGCTGCAGCTGACAACGGGTTAAATCGCCATTGACGTCTCCGCTGTAGTGGAGCCGTGGTCATTCATGCTGCATTCTACCTAAACTCTTTGTATGGGATCTGGAACTATGAAATGCATTTACATGGAGATTCCTTTGTTTTGTCTGAAGGTTGCATGGATTCTGATTCTGTCATTGGATCTTTTTTTTTTTACCTTTAGATTGTAAGCTCTTAGGAGCAGGGCCTTTCTAAAGATTACCATTAAAGTGACATTAATGCCACATTTCCCCCCCCCCCCCACGGGGCGACGTTCCAGCGACGGTAGCGCGACCTTCTCCGTCGGGGTCCATAGAAAAAAAGTGCAAAATCTGCCGAAAAAAGGGTCCGGTAGAAGCGACCGCGACGAGCGACGCGCGACATGGAGTTGAGACAGCTCCATTGAATAGCATTGGCCGGCGACTTCTCGCAATATCGCGCAGCAAAAATGCGCGATATCGCGGCGGAAATCGCGCGACAAGTCGCTATATGTGAACGGGGCCTTAATGATGCCTCTTGATCCGATCTTTTCTCCAGTAGTTTTCAAGAGTCCCTCCAGCGCTGGTGCTGGTCTCTGATCGACTGCTGTGTCTTCTGTGTCCCATGAAGTCTGACCACATGCACACTGCCGGGCTGTTTGCATTGACTCAGGCTGGGTTCACACCATTTTCCGGACCAGAACTAGAACATTGCATTTTTGCCGCGTTTTTACAGCGATTTTGCAGCAATTTCATTTTTTTTCTTTTTTAGCTTAAAATGGTCTTACAGGTGCGTTCCCGTGTGATCCATGCATTTTTGATGTGTTCCAGTGCATTCCAGACAAGACAAAATAAGACAAGCAGTATTTTTCTGGTCTGGAACGGACTGCACTGGTGGGAACAGAGGCCAGAAATAGCATAGGGATACATTGGGATGCATTTTTGGTCTGGAAACAGTCTGGTCTGTTCTGGAGGTAATCTGGATGTGGTGTGAATGGGCCTTCACACTGTGTCTCTCCTCTTCTTCCGAACGAAAATCTCTACTGCGCATGCGCCCACCCCATCATCATTCCTGGCCGCCCGAGAATCTGCAGATCTTCAGCGAGCGGGGGAGACACAGGTAAGTTTTTACCTATTTGGTAACTGTTTTATTTTTTTTATGTTTTTGCATATATCTACTGCTTGCTAGCAGTAGATACATGCAAAAAAAAACAACAACAACAACGAAGGAAGATTTGATTATACTTTAACATTACAATCTGACAATCTCCTTTGGATTTACCAAAACTATGGAACTACCAAAACTGAGCGACCAGTAAGCAGCAAATTGTACTACAATTGATTGTGGATCTAAAGGAAAATGTACAGATTGTAACGTGATGAGCTTAAAGTAAAATTAAAGTCTAAATTTGTTTTTGCATATATCTACTGCTAGTAAGCTAGTAAGCAGTAGATATATGCCACAACAGTAAAAAAAAAAAAAAAAGTGCCCAAATATGAAATACTTCTGTCTGTGCCGCTCGCTACCGTCTGCAGTACACAGATCCGAACGGCCATGCAGGAGGATGATGTGGGCGGGCAGATGTGCAGTTGATGTCATCAGCGGGGAGAGGAGGAGAGACACTGTCTCAGTGGCAGCACAGTGATGTAGTGATTAGCACTTCTGCCTTGTAGCACTGGGGGTCCCTGGTTTGAATCCCAGCCAGGACACTATCGACAAGAAGTTTGCATGTTCTCCCTGTACTTGCATGGGTTTCCTCCCACACTCCAAAGACATGCTGGTAGGTTAATTGGCCCTTGTATGTGAGCTAGGGAACTTAGATTGTAAGCTCCTTGAGGGCAGGGACTGGTTTGCACTGTGTAAAAGTGTTGCGTAAATTGTCGGCGCTATATAAATGCCAATAGTAATAAAAAAATGTATGCAGCTGGGAGCATGCCCACCAGATATGCGCCGTGAGAGACAGAGGAGTGTGCACTGGATCAGAGACTGGCACCAGCATTTGAGGGACTGCTGGAAATGGGTGGAGGGAGAAGATGATCGCAGCAAGAGGCATCACAAGGTAAGTATTAAAAGCACAATTACAACGAGGGGGGGGATGTGACTTTAAAAAGACACTAAACTCAGCAGTTAAATCTTAAAAATGAATTCAAGTACCTCAACTATTAACAAAAATGTATCTTATTTGTGAATCACTCGGCTGTAGTTGAGATAGTAGCCACCCTCCAGAAGGAAGGCCAGTGTCAGCACCAATTCAGAGATGATTTGAGGATCTACAGCTGAGTGATACACAAACAAGATACAATTTGTATTAATAGTTAAGGTACTTGAATACATTTCTAAGAATTTTCAGATTGTAAGCCCTCAGGGGCAGGGCCCTCCTTACCATATTGTATTGTAACTGTAATGTCTTCCTTATATTGTAAAGCGCTGCGCAAACTGTTGGCGCTATATAAATCCTGTATAATAATAATAAGAAGAAGAATTAACTTTTGAGTTTAGTGTCACAAGGTCATA